AATATAATATAATATAATATAATATAATATAATAAAAAATCCCTCTATTGTCCCATAAAGGGAGATTCTGGTGTTTACAGCAGCAAAAAAGATCATAGAAAAAATTGTCACACAAATGTGGACCTTAAAAGAGTGTATAAGAAATAACTAAAAAGTGACTTTGGCTAGATTTAAGTCACACAAAATATCATAATATCTCTAACCCATCTAAAACTCGATTTAGTGGGTTAAGAAGAGCTCAAAGATATTTATCTTTATATTCATCATCTGGTTATGACCTTTGTTTGTTATTTACCTTCTTTAGTGTAAACACATCACATTCATATAAATGAATATAGTTCCCCTTAAACTGTGCAGAACACAGCAAAGTTGGACGTGTCATAGATGTAGAAACCTGGGTAAAGTGCTTCAGTGAATCGGTTCTCAAAAGTGTACAGGTGGTTTAAGGTGTCAGAGGAGACTTGGTAGAAGGACAAAGTGCCAGACTGCCAATCCAAATACACCCCAATTTTGTTACACCCAGCGGGAAGTGCAGCTTGCCATTTTTTACTATTACTGTGCCATGCACGGAGTACATCACCATTGACACCAAAATACCAGGAGACATTGTTGTACCCAAATCCAGTGTATCTACCACTTCCTTTTCTTGGAATGCTTTCATATGCAAGACCTACACCAAGCTCTTTAGTATTTTCACTGCTCCAGATTACTTCAAAGTAATGACAGCCTGTAAGACGTTCCCTGCAGAGAACTTGGGGATACGAATCAAATCTCTTCTCTGTTTTAGAATACTTTTCTCGTGGTCCACATGTGGCCTTTTTGTCTCCTGCAGAGAGAGTGAGGTGGCCATTCACAGTTTCTGGGTCCAAGGTGAGATCACAAGAGTCTGTTGTATAAAAAGAAACATAATTAAACATTTTATCACAGGGACTCAACTTTCACAAAAGATCTAATTCATTCTTTATTTAACAGTTTTGAAAGAATTTGCTTGCCAGTCAAAAGAAAACCCTTAAAATTGTGGTCTAATCAAAGGGGCTTGGTTTATTCAACAGAAGGTATCTTTCAGGATAATTCAATTATGTTTAAAGAACCCATGCAGTATAGTCCAGGTCTTCCAATTACTTTTAAAAAGCAAAGTCAAAAGGGGTCAGCTGTGAATTGAGATGGTGCCCTTGCCCTTACCAGAGCTTAACTTGGGTCTTTTAGTAACCATGACAGCGTAGGGCATAGATCTGTGAAGCCAATAGAGCCTAAATCATTTCTTTAAATCCTAAATTAAATGTGCCATTATCGTTTTCTGCTGTGTCATTTCAGAAATAAAAAAAAGTTGTGCCACATATGAAAGAGGTTAAGGTAAACGCTGTAACTGCATAACTATCTAGATGAAGATAAGAGTTCTGTTTAAACATTTTAAAAATCAAAGCATAAAATTCTATTTTCAAAGAGCTAAGGAAAAGCAATGATCTGCTGTAATATTAAAAAATATATTCTTCGCTGCAATATTTAACAATTTGTATTTGTGTAGATGATATTTGGTTAGAACTATCAGATTTATGGCCACCAAATCCAATTTTGAATCCACAGTATGTAGAGCAAATTTATTTATTTATTTATTTTTTTCAATGCCTTTGTAAATTCTCAGATGTACAGGTGATGGAATATATATATATTTAAATCGAAGGCACCAGACTTTCACTCAGTTTTTCTGAGGACGTGTTGACACCTATCAAGGAGTCATTGTCATTTCTGTCAGCTTATATTAGAGCTATATGTAGTTGGAACACTGATGTTTTACACAAAAGGAAGGTCCATCCTAAGCACATTCAAGTCGGGTACTAATCAGACATCCCCGTCATTATCCTGTGTTTTTGAAGTCTTTTGTTGCGTTTGTAAAGTTTGGTTTCTCAATACAGGATATAGAGCAGTCCTTGCTTGACTGGAGTCATAAAAAAGCCTATCAGCTTCGGTTTAGGTGTTCTGTGTCTGTGATAAAGTAGTATTTGTCTGAGTGTGTTGTAGTATTTGAAGTTCACTGATATGTTAGCCTGGGTGCCATTCCGAACTTAGTCCCGCCCACAAGGTTTGAGGTTGGGAAGTTCGGTCTGGCATTGCTCAATAGTAGCGCAAGTATGCTCGCCCAATATCTGGTCGGGCCAATCAAATTGTCAGGGCGGGCTTTATACGATGATGGACAGATGATCAATAGTAACGTAATCAACCACGTCACCAAAGCGCACTTGGGTGACAACAACAATGGCTGCCGCTGGAGAGTTGAGGTGTGTAGATTCTGCTATTGGGTCTTTTCTAGAAGATATCGACAGCAAATTAATTTTAAAAGAGGAACAGAGAAACGCGAAAAAGAAAGATGTTTTTGGCGTCCTTCCTACGGGATTCTGGCTCCCTTGGTTGCTTAACATACATCACGCACACCGTTGCTCTTATTGGTTGTAGGTCTATCCAATTGAGTGCAATTTCCTGGTTCGTTCGAAACACGCCCCATAATCACAACTCTATGGAGCAGTATCAGACTCATATTCTGACTAGAATTGAGTAGGACTACGTCAGCCTACTGATATGTTATAATTACAAGAAATCCTTCTGAGATTCTCAGAAATTCCAGACACATATTGAAATACAATGTTTTTGCATGTCTTTGTGTTTTCCTGTGTTAGAAGCAGTCTTGTTCTTCCTGATAGTTTTTTTTTTTTTTTTTTTTGAGAAATATCCAGTTAGACTAATCAGATTCTTTAGTGATTTTCTAACATGTCAGAGTTCTTTTCATTTCTATTTTGCAGTTGTTGGAATATTGTCAGCCTGGTAATTCAGAGTTCTGATAATAGAAGATTTGTGTTCAGTGGGTGATGTGAGTGAAAAATATAAATATATAATGTAGATATTGGTCTATATCCATAGGTTTTAAGTAAAACTTAGAATGAAGATTCCCATTGCCACAGATACACATTAAAAGACTTACCTGGAGTATGATTGCACTTTGCACCTGACTGGAGATGTGCTTAGGAATATGTAACTCTATGTCTAATATCGGTGCTGTCACTGTAGGTTGCGCTAGTGCAAGTGACAGAATTAACTAAGTCTGCTGGACTTTGTCAATTTTATAAAATTTGCAACCATGCTTAGGGGTAGTGTTGACTTAGTGAGGGAGAGTTTTGGCCTGAGAAGGTTGCAAGTACCCGGTCCAACCCCACAGCCTGCATTCTGGGTTTCTGAGCAAGACCATTAACCACACATTGATACCGGGTGACACACAATGGCTGCCCACTGCTCCCCAAGGGGAAGGGTTAAATGTAGAGGTAAATTTCTCCAGTCCTACCCTTAAAGTTTGCCAAAAGAGTGACACATTTGTTGGGTCCTAAGAAGTCTAAGAAGGATTTGTTGAATGGGACAACCTCTGTCGAGACTTTTGAAGTAATGAAATGTAACCTTTGCTGGTTGCAGCGGCTGAATTTGGACGCATCTCTGGACTACATTTCATCATACAGACTACATTTAAATAAAGTTTCTTTAAAATCAAAACAAAACGTTTTGACTTACACCACATTAGATCTTGTTTATCTGTTACATTTCTCACTCGATGAATGGCAGGTTTTGCAAAGTCTTTGGTTTTCAGCACTCCTTTCCTGTAATGGTAGATAGTTGCTCCTGTGTACTCCTCATTTGGCAGTGCTGCTACAAGAAAATGAAATCTGCTGCTGCTCCTAAGGCCTTTAGCTGTTTCCGAAATCATGTTTGCTTTCTCTTTGATGTTTTCTAAGACCTCATCTGAGAAGAACCACTGGTCTTTGGCAGGTAGAGTAACAAAGTTTGGAGTTTCTTTAAAATAACTGGCCATCTGGTCCATGTAGGCGTCACTCATTTCAATCGAGGTAAAAACAAAGCAGAGGGCGTTTTCTACACTCAAGACTTCTCTATCTAAGTCTGACTTCTCTGGGATGATCTTGATTCCCTTCATTATGTCCAAACAGGAGGCAATGACGTTGATTTCTCTGTCTAAATTATCAAGCCACATGTTTAAGTTTTTCTTGCTGAAGGGAGAGTTTTCCTGCTCATCTAGAAATTTTTCTAATGATTCCTCTTCTTCCTCTTCCCCTTCACGAATAAGGGGAATTTTCTCCTGCATGGTCTGTTGGATGGTTTTCATGTAATCTGCACAGAGATCCTGGAAAGATTTTAACTTATTGTGTAATTGTGGAAAGGTCTTCACTACGTCTCCTTCCAGTGATTCATTGCATCGCATTTGTATTTCTCTAATACCTTCCCAAACATTTTCAGCTTTTCTGAGTACAACATCAGAAATGCTTCCCTTCAGCTGAGCTGCAGCAGAATCCAGGTTCTTTAGAGGAGACAGCCAGATTTTAACAGGAACCGATTTCTCTCCATCTTTTCCAAGAAGCCCTGGAAGGTTTCTGTAGGTATCTGCTGCTTCTTCAAATGTTGTAGGATTCCTTTCCAGAATGAAATCTCCATAAAATTTACAGGAGACTTTTTCCATTACACTTTTTTCTGCCTCTCTGAGATTTCTGACCATGTTACCTTCAGGATCCAGCTTTGGGATCTTCTTTATCAAGCTTTGCATGCTGCCCTCCATGCTGTGCAGACTGCTAATATCCAATCTTTCACTGTCAAACACAAAGAAGGCATTCGCGCCATAAAGGATGCCTGTGACAACATGTGTTGCATGGCTATATTTGATGACATCTCTTGCTTGCAGTTTCTTGGCATCTTGGTGGTTCAGGTCCAGTCGTTCATACGCTGTTGTTGCTTTGTAGTGAAGGATGACTCTGCTCTGGTTCTTGAACTCTTTCTTATCATTCAGATAGTTGGCAGATGCTCCAACATCAATTAGACCACTCAGAACACTGGCTGTGAGAGATTCATCAGCCTTTAGCAGGGAAGTCTTGGCTGCAATAGTGTCTGAAGCAATAGTTTCATAATGACTGCTGTTCTGGGTCTTTCTTGTTGTGAATTTTTTTATAGTTTCTCTGTCCCACAGGGTGAAGTCTGTAGAAAAAAATACAAATCTGTTATAGTTTAAAAAAAATCTAAACAACAGAGCAACTGCTGTCTTATTTTTAAAGGTTGGGTTTCTTGAGGAAAAAACTGAGTTAAAACAGTTGAATTTACCATCGCTGTTTACACCAAACATCATCATCACATATAGTTTGAACACAGGATTGTCTTCTTACCGTAATCATCTATGTTAAAAAATAAAAAATATAACTGACCAAGCTCCGTTATAAACAACACTGTAGGTACGTCATGGCCCTTCTGTCCATAACAATGGATTTAGCTGTTAGGGTCTCAGGGGTTTTGCTTATTTTCTGGTGTGAGTGAGCTTTCTGTCACAGAGAGGATCTTTGCTTGGCCAACCCTTGTTGCCGCACACCTGACAACATTTCTCAATCAAGACCAAAGTGAAGGATCATCTCTTTGCTTAATGATTACCTCTCATGGTATTTCAGCCGAATACCTCAACCAGGAATATCTTAATTGTTGGAAATTGTCTTCTTGTGAATATCTTTGTTCCAGACAACCAGCAAACCTTAATCCTTCTCTGATCTTCATGGAAAAGGTCTTACCTGTGTGAAATAGTTCTCAGTCCTCATCACCTACCTGCCTGCACTCCAACATGTCATCTCTTGCAAGTACCAATGCTCTCGAATCTCACTCACATTCTCTTGGACTTCTAAGGTATGGTCTGCAAAGTATGCTGAATCAAACCCTAAAGATCCGATTTCCCCTTCATCTCTGAAGCAAGCAGATCAATAATTCATCAGTTGTCATCAACCAAATCCTTCTTTCAACAGTCTGCTCTCTAGTCTCAGACCAAACAGAAAGTGACTTCCTGCATTTCTCTGCTAGCTGCTTTGTATATAAATAGCTCTCTGTGTGATTCTGCATATGGGGTCAAAAAACTATGCTATTCTTGATAGAGAAGTTTTTTTTTTGTGAAATGAAAAAATACTTGAGAAATATTAGTTATTTACAAATGTTGCAAATATTTTATCTATTCTACCAACTCTTCATTTCTTGGAAGCATCAGAATCTCAAATTAGTGAATAACTAAAATACTAGAATCCAGAATCAAGTTTTAACCATTTTATTAAAATATAAGATTAATCAAGTTACAATAATACTTAATAGTTGTGTAAACCAGAGCACAAAATCACTTTCAAGCATAAGGGTCTCCAAATGTGCTCTTTGCAACAGGACTCCCTAAAACATAGTTCAATGATCAACTTTGTTGTTGTTTCATCTGACCTGCGACCGCATGTCTTAGACACTCGGGTGAGGAGAGGGGAGGAGCTCTCCACCAACCACTACTTTGTGGTGAGATGGTTCCGATGGTGGGGTAAGATGCCGTTTAGATCTAGTAGACCCAAACGAATTGTGATGGTTAGCTGGAAATGTCTACCAGAGTCCCTTGTGAGACAGAGCTTTAACTCCCACCTCTGAGGCAATTTTAAACCCAATCTGAGGGAAGTGGGGACCATTAAGTCTGAGTGGACAATGTTCCGTGCCTTCATTGTTAAGAAGGCTTGTCAGAGTTGTGGCCGCAAGGTTGTCTGTCCATGTCGTGGTGGCAACCCTTGAACATGCAGGGAGACACCAGAGGCGAGGGAAGATTTCAGGCTGAGGAAGGAATCCTACAGGGCTTTATCGGCCAATAGGACTCCAGAAACAGCTTGTGGTCAAAGCAGCACGTAGCTTTGGCTGGTCGCTGAGGCAAAAAACTCTGGTCTGGGAAGAGTTCCGAGAGGCCATGGAGAAAAATTCTGGTCCACAATGTGGCCTCTTTGCAGGGGGAAGGAGTGCAGTACCAAAACTATTTATATTGTGGGAGATGTGCTGCTGACCACGACTCGGGACGTTGTGTTTTGGTGGGTGGAGTATTTCAAAGATCTCCTTAATCCCACCAACAAGGACCTATTAAGGAAGCAGAGCCTGGGGTGTTGGGTTCTCCCATTTCTGGTGCTGAAGTCACTGAGGTGGTTAAAAAGCTCCTCGATAGCAAGGCCTCAGGGGTGGATGAGATTCACCCTGACTACCTTAAAGGGGAATGCCATTTTTTGGTACATTGTGCCCTTGATTTTACGTTATTACATCATGTTCTACTACTACATGTTCTAGTCTTGTGTCATTTGGAGATGTACTGAAGATATTCCGTTAGGTTATATCCAAGTAACGTCTTCCTATGGGCAACGAGTTGAAGGCACAAACTAAACTGTTCATAATTTATTCTTTATGGTACGCCAGCATTCATAACATGTTGGCGAATCACTGTCCCCCAGACATCCATGGTTATATTTTTTATATTTATATTTTTTTTTAAAACAAAGCAGTGTGTGTATGACATCATCCGCACGCCGGACTGGAGTTGTGACAGGCAGCCCAGGCCACAGGCGGCTACGCTCTACCCCTTCTATTCATTAGGCTAGCTAATCTGAATCGTTCAATTCCATTTCGAGAGCGAGATCATCTGTAGTAGTAGCACTAGACATCCTCCAGGCATGTGAGTAAAACTAGTAGCATTTCAGTGAACAGGGTGAATGAATGGTAGCTGGTGCGCGTGAATGACGTCATACACTCACCCACATGAGTAGAACATGATGTAATAACGTAAAATCAAGGGCCCAATTTTACTGCTGCATTGCTGGCAGTAAGTCTGACTTATTTCCGTGGAGGGTTGGACTCCACCAATGTTGCCGTTTTTCTGTTCATAACATTTATGGACAAAATTTCTAGGTGCAGCCATGGTGTTGAGGGGATCTGTTTTGGTGGCCTTAGGATTGCTTCTCTGTTATTCGCCGATGACGAAGTTCTATTGGCTTCATCAGGGTGTGATCTACAGTTCTCACTATAGGGGTTTGTAGCCGAGTTTTGAAGGGTTTGAAGGCCTGGATTAGGATCAGTGCCTCTAAATCCGAGTCCTTGGCCTTGAGCCGGAAAAGGGTGCCTTCTCCAGGTTGGGGAGGATATACTGCCCTTGTGGAGGAGATAACGTATCTTTGGGTCCTGTTTACGAATGAGGGGAAGATGGCGAATTGGTGCAGCATCTGCTGTGAAGCAGGTGCTGTTCCTGTCCATTGTGTTGAAAAGAGCTCTGAGCCAAAAGCCAAAGCTCTCGATCTAAGTTCCTACCCTCATCTATGGTCATGAGCTTTGTGTCATAAGAGGCTGAAATGAGTTTTCTCCGTAGAGTGGTTGGGCTCTCCCTTCGAGATTAGTTAAGGTTCTGAGTCATCTGAGGAGGACTGAACGTAGAGGCACTGCCCCTCCACGTGGGGAGGAGCCAGCTGAGGTGGCTCAGGATTCTGGTTAGGATGCCTCCTTGACACCGCCCTGGTGAGGTGTTCCAAGCACATCCCATCTGGAGGAGGCCCAGGGGGAGACCCAGGACACGCTCAAGGGACTATGTTTCTCAGCAGGTCTGGGAACGTCTTTGGATTCCCAAGGAGGAGCTGGCCAAGGTACCTGGGGAGTGGACTTCTAGGTCTCCCTACTGAAGCTGCTAGCCCCGCGACCCGACCCCGGATAAGCAGAAGAAGATGGATGGGCAGTTGTGTAAACATGCAAGAAAACAAGGATCCCTTATCTAAAAAGAAAATGTAGATACTATAAAAGCATTGTTCTAACAGATAGGACCTGTGCATCATCTCATCAGGTTCCTCCTCATTTTTATTGTCTTCCACTACACGGTAAATACTAAGTGGCTGTTTGAGTGTGCAGTTTATTTCTGTAATGCTTTTATGACACATACAAGTGCTGTCATCAAGTTCTGTTAAATGCCTGTTAAAGAAGTCTGTGTAATGCTGCAAACATGATTAATTTACTGCATAGTTAATTAGTTAATTTTCTGAATAAGACAGTTTGCAGTCTGAGAATCCTTGACTGATAGAGATTTTGTTTTCTTTGAATTAATAGCACACTTTCTTTAATTGGATTGTCCTTAAAGGACATGCTAATTTGTAAGTCTAATGTACCAAGTGAATGATTCCTTTTAATTGTTTGCACAAAACTATGAGAAAACTCTTCTGACTATATCGCCAAATAAAACAATGTTGTAAGAAGGGCGGGCACAGAGGAAACTCTGAGGTTGTGGCAGAAAGTCCACTCTAAGCATATAGGACACTATATAGTCATTACGCCATTTTAGATCAGTGTCTGAAGTTCAGACACTGATCTAAAGATCAGACTCTGAACGTCCAGTGGATGAAAGGTAATGGACTCCAAATTTTCCGAAATGCCCCTTGTAAAGTAGTGATCATCAATGGTCATTAGACGAGCAGATATATCCCACATACATCATGGGATTTGTTGTTGCGGTGATTGGACCGAGCTGGCACTCATCTACTCATTACCACCAGCCTTACAGAGTGGCCAGCAGGTCAGAGGCAGCCACTGGATTGTTAATGTTCCTGCCACGGTACTCATCTGAGCTCCATTAACTATTCTAAAGGGCAGATTAGAATTCTGCAGCCACACACATCAAACGTTGCTTGGGTCTGGTCCCGAACCAGTTTTGCTGGTATGCTTCTGCAATGTCGGTCTGGAATTTCTAGGGAGGCACAGCAGTTTCCCTCTGAAGCACAAGGGGGAGCCTATTTGAGAACTCACAAGAACTTTGACAGATGGTCACGAGAGCTTTGTTTTGGCAGACACCTTCATATATTTATAGAATTTGTCTGAGGCATCGTTCAAGTGGTTGTACTTCCGAACCTCGTTGATTAACCGTTCGTCATAGTTGTCCATTGTGATTGTTCCTGGGTTTTTAAAAATGGCGTGTCCCGTGTGGTTGTCTTCGAGAAGGACAACCACACAGACAGCCCGAAAGGCATACCAAGGACCAATCACAGCTCCTTTTTGTCTGTGCACTTCTGACTTCAAGTGCACTTGTCTGTGCACTTGAAGTCAGCGCAGGTTTGCCACTGTCTGACGTGTAGTCAGGTGTTTTTTTGTTGTTGTGCGACAACGGTTGCAGAACCTCTGCGAGGGGGCATGGTCACACACAGAGACAGATTTGACTGATGCAGAGGCTATGCGTCAGAAGCATAAATTAACCTTATTGTTTTCACTCTTGCAGTTCCTGTTCTTTTTTTACTCAGAATGTCAGTACTCCTGGCTCTGTCGTTCCAAGCTCTCCGTTCCTGATCAAAGTCTGTCCCTTCTCAGTCTGCCTTCTCGTTGCTCATGCAAAGGTCTGCTTATTATTGAACTCTGGAATTTTAGCGCCGCCACCCAAGTTTGCCAATGTCGCAGGAGTTTCTTTAGCTGTTCTCCTGGATCCCACATCCTCCACACAAAGCTGGACTCACATGTTGCAAATTTACCCCTTCCGCCATGTCAAGATAACTATCCATAAACTGTGATCTGCTCAGGTCCTCCATCCATGCCTAACTGTGATTTCCTCTTCAGATTCCCCAGGCCGCTAGCCTTCTTAAACCCTTGTTGTTATCATTTCTCTTTGTGTTTTCTAATAAACCCATTTAAACCCTCCCAGTCATGTCCGTAGTTGCCGCTCGTTTTAGAGTCTAAACACCTGATGTTGCTGTGGTTCCTCATGGTGTCACCTGCTTGAGATGCTTTTCGTATACTACCATGATTGGCAAAAAAACACTTTAGTAGAAGGGCACTAGGTGTTGCTTCATTCAATCAGCTGCAAATGTTCTGCTAAAAATTCATCCTTTCCATGAACATAATCAATTGGAGCAGTTCCTCTTTAATGAGGTGTAGAACTAATCCTGANCACTCTTGCAGTTCCTGTTCTTTTTTTACTCAGAATGTCAGTACTCCTGGCTCTGTCGTTCCAAGCTCTCTGTTCCTGATCAAAGTCTGTCCCTTCTCAGTCTGCCTTCTCGTTGCTCATGCAAAGGTCTGCTTATTATTGAACTCTGGAATTTTAGCGCCGCCACCCAAGTTTGCCAATGTCGCAGGAGTTTCTTTAGCTGTTCTCCTGGATCCCACATCCTCCACACAAAGCTGGACTCACATGTTGCAAATTTACCCCTTCCGCCATGTCAAGATAACTATCCATAAACTGTGATCTGCTCAGGTCCTCCATCCATGCCTAACTGTGATTTCCTCTTCAGATTCCCCAGGCCGCTAGCCTTCTTAAACCCTTGTTGTTATCATTTCTCTTTGTGTTTTCTAATAAACCCATTTAAACCCTCCCAGTCATGTCCGTAGTTGCCGCTCGTTTTAGAGTCTAAACACCTGATGTTGCTGTGGTTCCTCATGGTGTCACCTGCTTGAGATGCTTTTCATATACTACCATGATTGGCAAAAAAACACTTTGGTAGAAGGGCACTAGGTGTTGCTTCATTCAATCAGCTGCAAATGTTCTGCTAAAAATTCATCCTTTCCATGAACATAATCAATTGGAGCAGTTCCTCTTTAATGAGGTGTAGAACTAATCCTGAGTATAACATGTTATCAATCTTGCTTGCCAGGTTACCCCCTGAACAAGCTACTGGTGTGGTACCACTTTAAAGCTTTCCTTCATAGTTCTGGTCAGCCTATAGCCAAGGCCATAGACTAAATTGGCTAAATGTCCTACTTTATTTTAATGACGTCCCAAATCGCCAAAAGAAAAGAAGCATGCCCCATACTTTAAGAAGCCCTGCTTTATAGAATAATAAAACAACGCTCCACTTTAACAATGGTTAAAGACATATAATGCTCCAAAAGACATGAAATAGTCCACAGAAGCCTCACAGTTCAACCTATTATAGAGTTTTATGATAAATATGAGTTGTCTCTTCTTATCCTACCTGTGATCAGTTGATCTAGTCGAGCATCATACAGCATCCCTAATGCGAAAGGTCGACCCAGGGCAGCAACATGGATTTGTTCTGAGTCCATGTCTTTAATCTGAAAGGATACATCCACCAGTCAAACATTAAAACGAATACAGTAGAAATATCTTTATGAAAATAGAGACTTAGATTCAATATTCGGATTTGACATATATTTGATTCATATTATCTACACATTTGTTATCTATTAATGTGTTTTTGAATTGTAAATGTGTTTTTTTCAAAAATACATTTGTTTCATAAAATATAATTTAGTTTCTTCAAATGTTATTTTGTTTTTTATTTGTTAATGTGTTTTTGAATTGTAAATGGGTTTTGCACTTCTCAGCCACCGTACGTTTGGGATTTTCCCATTATGATTAGACCTAATTATAATCAAACTTGCCCAGTTGTGCCTTATACACACACTCATATATTCAGGCGTGTCAAACCTCAGAAAGGAAGAGGAACCAAAATGTTAACAAAGCTATCTGAACAGAGGTATAGAAAAAAACAAGCAGAGCCTTGCCTCCCCAGTTCCCCCTCTACTTTTATGTCTTAAAATACTAGCAATCATAGGGTTGCCCTTAAAACCTTTTAATTTAACATTAAAATTTTACAAAAATATATATACTATTTACCATAATATAATTTTTTTTCTTAAATAATATTAAAAAAACTTGAATATTAAATTGGCTGCCATTGGAAGAAGATTTCTAAATAACTCTGCTTGTATGACTTGGTTGAATAGGATTAATTATTTTTGACTTTTTGTTGTTATGTATTTCATGCTATAATAAGTGGCAACTAAAGGTTTTCTTTTCCATATATAAAAATATCTACTCCGTGTCAGCTTGACCTCCAATGTCATGCTAGGTTCAAATAAGCTTGTGTACAAATGGAAAACATATTCAGAAATAAAAATTAACTCTGTTTTTGTTGTGAGCATCTTTGTTTAAATAAAGCCTGTTTGTTATTCAGTAAAGTTCATTAATGTTGGATGAAGTAGTCAAACATCTTATGTAGGAGTAGTGATATTTTCTAAAGATATTACTGAAGTAAAAATATGATGGAGCATTTAGATTAGGAAATTTCTTATGTACTCTTGCTCTTCCAGTGTAAAATTAACTAGATCCACGACCGTCCAGTGTATATAAAAATATAATCAATCAAGTTCTGATACAAAGTGAACTTAATTACAATTAAAACTTCGAGATAAAGCATCATTGTCAAGTTT